CATGGACTTGGCGCCCGCGCGCCGCATCCATGGATCGCTGATCAATCCGCGATTTTGGCTTGTTCTGGGCCTGGGAGGGTCCTTTTGTGGCCCTCTTTGGGCGTCTTGGGCCGTCGGGAGGACATCTTGGTATGTCTTGGGGCTACCCTGGGCCGTCTTGGACGCATCTGGGACCGTCTTGGCGGTCTTGGTGCCCTGCCTGGGCCGTGTTGTAAGTCACCCTGGGCATGTTGGACGCCTTGAACAGCGCCATATAGCCGTCTGGCAGCCCAGGAATCCTCGGGAAGGGGGGTGATTCACGCAGGTAGAGTGCGACCGGGAGGGGGGGGGCTCCCCTAGAAGATTGCATCAATCCTACCAAACAGACAGTGCCTGGGTTTCCACCACGCCGCAATGTGCCAGGGGGCACGGTGGTGGAGATCGCGATCTCGACAGATCTACTGATAGTGAGATCGGTCAAGAAATAGTGAGACCGACAGATAACGACACTTGCATATGGATCATGAGAGGTTTTCCCGATGGTTGTTCCAAACGGTTGCTCGGATGTTTGTCCCAGTGGTTGTCCCGATTGTTGTCCTAGTGGTTGGCCCGATTGTTGACCTGATAGCTAGATGTGAAGCCAGCAGATAGCTTGATACTGGTATCGATCTGTATGTATATATATATATATAGATATTTAAGTGCGACCGATAAACCGTGAGACCGATAGAGGCCGTTCGATGGAGACGGTTGTCCCGATGATCTGCCCGATGGTTGTTCGATAGAGACGGTTGTCCATTGCCCCGACGGTCAAGTAGTTTATATATATATGTATATATGCATCTAAAGACTAATTCACTGTTTGGTATGATGAGCCAGGACACCTATAGGACAAGCCTATTTTGAGAATTCTTGTTGATCTCCGGAAGCGGTTCCGCGCGCTCTCGCCTCGACGCCGGCTGCATTTTCTCTGAGAACCAGGCTCCCGCGCGAGCGTTGGCTTGAGTCTAAATGTGGGCCCTTGGATCGGAGGCCCAGCTACGACGACAACGGCTCCCGCTCGATACTTCCTCTCAAGGTACCCCGAGACACCCTGGCCAGAGAGGGCGCTCTCGCTCGAGACCTCCTCGCAATTCGGTGAAGTTGTCGGAGGCCCAACCACGACGACAAGGGCTCCTGCTTGATACTTCCTCACGATTTACTCCGAGAGCCCCTGGCCAGGAAGGCCCCCGAGCTCAGGAGCGGCACTCTCGCTCGATACTCTTTCGCAATCTGGGCAACTTGGTGGAGGCCCAGACACGGCGACAAGGGTTCCCGTTCGATATTTTTCCATCGGTATTCCGAGAGCCTCTGGCCAGAGAGGCCCCCGAACTCAGGAACGGCGCTCTCGCTCGAGACTTCCTCGCACTTCAGTCAGTAACCTACAAGGATCCCCCCGAAAGGAGGTGAAATCGAAGACGAAATGGGCGGGTATCGAGGGTTGGGGTATACAGAATGCCAGACACTCGTGCCAGTAAGAGCGAACAGTCTTAACATGGTTACTGTCGTTGTTGTTGTTGCTGTTGCTGTTGCTTTTGCTGCTGTTGTTGTGGTCGTCGTTGTTGTTGTTGTTGTTGTTGTTGTTGTTGTTGTTGAACATTATTAATTCTAAAGAATAATTATTGTTGGGCCCCCTGGTGCGCGCCCCCCCCGCCGCGCCTAGGCCGCAGCCACGTTTTCATCATTTTCGTGAGGAAGCCTCAGGTAATTCGAGGTGATCAAGATCCGGTTGTTTTGTTGTAATCCGCTTTCCCTTGCAAAAAACACTATAAAATGACATTTCTTGTTCAAATATAATCAAATTTCAAGAATCCCTTGCAAAAAATAAGGTAAAGTGGACATTCGCGCGCGCAAGACGAAATCCTTCCAAAACCTTAGTGTTCGGAGCGATTTTAACATAAAACATCAAAAAAACAATGGTTTTTCAACAAAAAAATGTCAAAATCTCATCCCGCGCGCTCTTGCGGATTCGTAGGAAACCCAACACTTTTTAAACATTTCTGTCAAACGGGCTTTTGCGAGCAACTTTTTCGAACTTCTGCGACAACGGTTGCGCACCTGCCAGGGCCATCATCCCTGTCAAATAATACCATGCGGGACACATTCGTCTCTCTGTATTATGTATTGTATGGCACAATTGCACCATGCTGGGCACATGCGCGCCCCGAATAAGTGACCAAGTTCTGTGGGTGTGTACCCCACGCCAGTGTAGTAGCCACGGTCGTCCGCACGCCACGAAGTGAAGTGTCCCAACGTCATAGGGCGGGAAGCTGGGTTTGGGTGGTCGCGAAGAGTCGTTTGGATATTTGGTAGAGCTTGTAATGCCCCCCCACGAAGTGGGGGTATTGCCTGGTGTCGTATGAAAACCCTGGCACTGGGGAGAACACCACGCGTTCGGGTAAAATGATTGTTGTTGTTGTTGTTGTTGAACATTATTAATTCTAAAGAATAATTATTGTTGGGCCCCCTGGTGCACGCCCCC